GGGTGAAATTAAATTTTCCTTTCCTGTAAATATGGTTTAGGTTGCTTTGGAGCATTGGAGACGAATACGAATAACCAGGCATCATTGCTTCCACCAAGCTTTGTCCATTGTAAGCTATATTACTCTTTGATTTCTGTTGTGTTTTGCGGTTAAGAACCCCATAGAAGTGGCTATTGTGCTTTTATTGTCGGGCAAAAGCAGGTTACTTAACTCAGATTCTTTAGGGAATAAGAAGTGGCTATTGCATCATCGGCTTGCTGGTGTAATGTGTGTCTTTCGCCAAAATGTATCTATATTTCACTAGTTGGCATTATTTTGTATTTTGGTCGACCTTCGTAATCTCTTATCAGAACTGTAATCATTTGCATGTCCTGTTTTGAGCTTTGGTTTATGTGGTTGAGATACCAGGTATGGCGTTTTTCATGAATGAAACTAATTACTGTGGCTAATTTCAGGTTTTTATGATGGAGCCAGAGAGACGGACACTCGTGGATATAAAATCAGGACTTGTGCGTAATTCAGCCTGGTTTTGGCACCTGATTTGTTAAAGTTTTTGTGTATATGGTTTCACTCATCCCTTGTACCCATAAATTACAATGTGAAGCAGCATAAGTTACAATGCGGCACAGAAAATTTTTGCATCCTCCTTTACCCTTGACAAATTGATTTGGGAGCCATCCCCTTTTGGGAAATTTTCCTTTCTCTTCTAGTTATGATCTAATTTGAATGAGACAGTGATGGTGCTTGGGCAAAAGTTATTTGCCGGCATTTCATTCCGCCTCGACTATCTATTTTGTTTTGGCCTTTTTTTCACAATAAACTTCCCATCGAGGTTGCACTACAATGATGTGGTATCTATTTGGCTTTTGTTTGTTGTGTTTGTCATGTTTTTTAGGAATCTGTTGCTAATCTTTTTTATGGCTGTCAGTTTCTAAGCATCTTTAGCGGTTAGCATGTTGATTTGGTACGTCTTTGCCCTTTTCATATTCTTTTGTTGTTTTTTCTGGATATTTTTGTGCAGAAGCCCTTTCTGTCAGTAGCCCAATTTATGGGTCATTGCGAGTCTTTTTACTAGTTCGGTTATTCAAAAAGCTCGAAACAAGTTCATTTTTCCGGCTCGTTCAATCTCCTACCATCATCTTTGCATGTTTATCATTTTTGAGCTCGTGCATGGCAGGATGTTTATTCATGGATTCTCTCATGGTTTAAATATTATTCAGCCTATTCCTCGCAAGGTACCTATTTTTCTTCCCGTGTTATGGTCTCCTCATTGGTATCCTTGGATTAAACTTAATATGAATGGTTTGTCTAAAAGAAATTCTTGTCCAGCTGCTTGTGGGGGAATTCTTAGGGATTGTCGTGGTCGGTTTCTTGGTGATTTCTATCAGCGTATTAGCCATGGCAATTATTTTTTGCTGATTTTATGCAATTATTATTAGTATAGAATTTGCTTATCAGAGGAGTTGTTGTTGTGTTTGGTTGGAAAGTGACTCTTCTAGTGTTATTTTTGTTCTCCATTTGAATGATTTTGATCCTCCTTAACTTCTTCGCATGCAATGGTTTACTTGTTTGGGCAACATTCGTGAGACCTTTTACGATTCTCACATTTTTCAAGAGGGGAATGTTGTCGCAGATAGCTTTTGCTAAAATGGCTCGTACACCTCGTAATTGGTTGGGTATGTAATTAGGTGCGTAGCCCACATGAAGGACCTGTACCCGAGATTCCCGGCGTTGCCGGCACCCTCTTCGTTAACCCCGACCTCAAAATGACGTTATATTGGTGTATTGTATTCTGTAAATTTTCTTGACGTCACGGAAGAACTCACAGTGGGTCAGGCCGTCTAAGGATGTTTATGGGTTGGTGTCGAAACGGGCCAGCCCGAGTCTTGATCTCTTTCGATGAAGTCATGCGGTTCTGAGTTTACTTGGTGGGTTTGTGATTGGCGTGGAAAAGGTTGAATGGGGTGTTTGAATTGTTAATCCGGCGAACAATTTCCGAAGCTACAGCGACTGAGGCAATGCCGGAGTCGAGACATTCACCAATTATAGGGACAAATCAATGTCGACAACTCGAAGATGGTGAGGAAGAGGGACTGCGGGACGAGGGACTTGGAGCCAGAGTCGAAGAGGATTTCGGCGACATCAAGAACCTTGGGAGGGCTGGGCGGAGCATCCCCTCCTTTTTTTTTTTTAAATTTTTTCTTGAATTATTTTATTGTCAATTTTAACGAAAAACCATATTTTTACACTAAAAAGTCAATTCTGATACTATTCACTTTACTTTTTTTTTTTTCCTTATCGTTAAAGCTCAAAGCTTTTAAACTATGTTTATTAGTTTTTCTTTATTTTAATCACATGCCACAAATTTGGATTCTAAATCAACAAAAGATGGGATCCGCGCCAACCATATCATCACTAAATGGCCAATTTAATGAATTGACTAGCTGCTGTTTTACGACTCATCCCTAATTTTTCTGTAATTTTGTCCTCACTAATGTATAATTACCAAAATGCCCTTAGAAGGGCATGTATTGATTTTTGTTGACCTTATTTGTTGTGACATGCATGATGTATTAACTAGTGCATTTGAATAGTACTCGTTGCTACGAACGTAACGAGAATTAGACTTAAACGAAGTTTTTATGGGACTTTAATTGCAAGGGCATTATCAGGAAAATTCATCGATTTCCGAATAAGTCGATTGGCTATTGGGGCAGTTAGTCCCACAAGGAATCTTCTTTTTCTCTCCCTTCTCTCTTTTCCCTGGTTCCTCTCCATAGTGTTCTCTTTCTTTTTTCTCCCGCTTCTTGACAAATTGAGAGAAAAATCGATGAACGATTCCACCATTTCACAGCGAACCTTGATCATCGACCACCACCACCTTCGCCACTCCACCAAGATTATCCGCAGTGATATGATTACTTTGAGATTACTCAGTAATGAAATGAGTATACATTTATACTTGTTATTACTATGAGATTACTTAGTAATAACATAATTATATATTTATACTCTTAGCTTGTCATTACTTCAAGATGACTCAGTAATGACATGATTACACATTTATATTCTCAGCTTGTCATTTCCTCGAGTTTGCTCAGTAATGACATGATTATATTATCTAGCTTCCACTAGTTACGACTAGTGGATGATATTGTATGCTATGCCATTGGTACATATCAACTCAGTATATATGTATCCATCAGCTCTCAGTGTATTTGTGTATATTAATTTTCAATTTTTATGAGATGCTTAGGTTTTCAGAAATTACATGTAGTATTACACATGCTTTCAAAACAAGGAGTTAGCCTGTTTAGAAAATAAATAGTCTTGGAAAACTTTATTTTTTCATCTACTCATATTTTTATGTTTTGCGCCCCCTCATTAATCAGTAGTAGTTGATGTGAGCATCTTCGATTCTAGGCTCTAACCTCCTTATTATTAAGTAGGTTACCTACTCAGCTTTATCAGTAAAACTGGTATCAAACAGCTATGCTTTTGAACTTATGATTATGCATATAACAGAGGGTTAGAGGCCCATCAAGTGTGGCCTTTCGGGGACGTGATGAAATAAATGTGGTTACCTTCAAGTATTTTAGTTTGAGCTTATTCCAATTTTGGGAGACTTTTATTAGTTGATGCATACTGCGGCTCGGTTTGAGTGTTTAGGGTGCGTTTGTTGCACCAGACTGTCGCATACTGGACTAACTTCAGGGACTAAGCTGGACTGACTTAGACTAGACTAAGATGGACTAGCTTAGTGAAGCGTTTGGTGCAGTGTCCGATTAAAAAGCAAAATATAAACAAACTATAATATTATATTATTTAACACTTATCTAATAATATTTTATTATTTTATCTAATAATATTAATTTAACCCTTTTCTTTCTTTTTTCCCACCCTACCTCTCTCTGGAACCTTCTCCCATCTCTTCCCTCTGACTCCATCCATTGTCTCCTTTCCTCCTTGTATTTCTTGCAAAACGCAGTCTTTCAAAACAAGGTCATGGTAGATCTTTCAAGACAAGCGCATCCCTTTCACCCTATTCCTGCCATTAGGCATCTCCACCTTCCTCACCCTTTTTCTCCCAAAAATTTTCGAATCTCTCTCCTCCCTCTGATACATGCGTCGGCTTCTCCGTCTGCAATTCCAGAACGAGATAGCCATCTCAGAATTTTCTGGGAAAAAGGAAGAATGCTTGCTGATCAGCTTCTCCCATTGTTGTTATTGTTTTGCATTTTTTTTTTTTGAATTTTGGTGGTTCGATTTTGAGATTTTGGCAGTGGGAGAAGCTGATTTGGGGGTGGGTAAACAGAGACGAAGCAGCGTACAGACGATGTAGTGTAAAAAGGAAGCAGATTTGGAGACGGGACTAACAATCCCATACATTTCGGGGGGACTTGACAAGACTATCTAGCGAAGGACTTAATCGGGACGAATCCGACTTAGTCTCATTAACGCTAGTCCTTATTCACACCAAACACGGCTTAGCAATCCTAATTAAGCCAGTCCAATCCAACGAGGTTTAGTGAGGGCAAACAAACGCCCCCTTAGTGTATAATAAAATGGAATAATAAGTAAACGTATGCGAATGAAATATTTTAAGGAAAACTAATGAAAAGGGCTTGAAAACTTTGAGTTTTAATGATAAGGACAAAATAAAGGGTAAAGTGAATAGTACCAGGATTGACTTTTTAGTGTGAAAATGTGGTTTTTCGTTAAAGTGAACAGTACGAAGAGTTTTCGTTAAAGTTCCCAATATTTTAAAGGGAACTTTAACGAAAAGCTCCCGGTACTGTTCATTTTAACGAAAAACCACATTTTTGCACTAAAAAGTCAATCCTGGTACTATTCACTTTACCCTTTATTTTGTCCTTATCATTAAAACTCAAAGTTTTCAAGCCTTTTTCATTAGTTTTCTTATTTTAAATGTGTGAGGTTGCAATTAAACGCAAAGCTGAGGAGCAAAACGTAATTTAACCTTAACAAAACCCTAGCCGCGGTTTGATCCCTCTACATCCTCCTCCTTCCATCTCTCTGCAAATCTTCATCTGCGATTGCTGGCAACTGGGTTTGACAAAAAATCTAATCTAACCATAACCAAAGCATATCATTCCTCCTCTTCAATCACCTCCCTTGACATCACCGATCACTCCTTCTCCTCTTTGATTTGAACAGCGTCATCGCCGTCAATAACAGCGAATTTGATGATCTATTCATCGCCATATCGTCGGAGCTAACCGATTTGGAACCGATTTGAACCGAAAAGTCGGTGAGCGACTCAGTCGTTATCGGATTCGGTTGTAGAATTGGGCATTACCGAAGCCCTCGATTCTGCAGTCGGTTCGTTGATTGTCAATGGTTTGTCTTTGATCTTTGATATATTGCTTTCTTGTTGATGTTATGGTGCATTGTTTGGTACTTCTTCAAAGTTCTTACCGTGTGGATGCGTGTTTAATTTTTGTTAGCGTTTAGGATGCCTGTGATAGATGTTGTAGATTTATCTAGTGACGATGAAGTTGGGGAGAGAGAGGAGGTGGATGTGAAACCTGTTAAGTTGGAGCCAGGTCTCATTGGAATGCAATTGCAGCGGAATGACAAGCCTAAAGCTCGAATAGCGAAGCATAAAATATCGAAAAACCCGCATGGGATTCGAGAATCTGAAGAAAAAAGGAGCTCAAATGCTTTAAGTCCCGGTCATAGTAGCTCTAGTATATTAGACCAGGGGCAGTCTCCGGTGGATGATACCGGCGTCTCTTCTACATCAACTTTCAGTCCGGCACCGCTTTGCCGGCAGTTTTGGAAAGCTGGGAGCTATAATGACGCTGTTGGTTCTAAAGTCGCATTTCAAAGTACTCTACTATCTACTGTTATATTTTTGTTGTTTTTGAACTTGATTACGTCCGGAATTTCACTAATAATGTTTACATAACATTCCTTAGATGGCAAAAACTATCTACATGTCCATCCTATGTTCCTTCATTCAAATGCCACTTCGCATAAATGGGCGTTTGGCGGTATGTTCAATCTCATTTCATCTCTTCTTTCTGTATGTGATTAGTGAATTCAATCTTACTACTTTCTCCCTGTTTTCAGCCATTGCAGAACTACTTGACAATGCAGTTGATGAGGTAAGTTATGAATCTTTATATTTTACTGTTTCTATCTCCCCGCACTAGTCGAGAATAATAGCTTCTTTGAGGAGTTCCATGATAATTATGTTAGGTGGAGTTCAATATTTCAGTAGGATCTTTCGTAGTTTTCTGAAGTTTGTGAGCAGGCGATGGGTTCCTGTTCATGATATTTGCTCACCTTTTGTTTTGTTTATTTTCTTATGGATTTTCCCTTGGATGTTATTGTGTTTTTGCCTAGTTTGACCTATCTTATCATGCTTTTCATTCCATTCTCTTTCGTTGTTATTTTGGATAGATACAAAATGGGGCCACTTTTGTCATTGTAGATAAAATCTTGAATCCAAGGGATGGAAGTCCGGCATTGTTAATTCAAGGTATTGTATATATGCACAGGAGTTTTTATTTTTATCTTTGTCAAAATCTTCAATATTCAAGTGTATTTAGCTGACTTTTGGTTCCAAAATTTGATACTTTATATCTAGATGATGGTAGTGGGATGGACCCTGAAGCCATGCGGCGTTGTATGAGTTTTGGGTTTTCAGATAAGAAGTCAAAATCAGCCATTGGACAATGTATAAGTTTTACCATTCACTCTAAATTCTGTTTTACTATCTCCTTTGGCATTTATTGGTTGACTTGTAGCTTTCCAGATGGAAATGGTTTCAAGACTAGTACCATGAGACTTGGCGCGGATGTTATTGTTTTCAGTCGCCACCAGGATACAAGGTTTCATCCCAATAGTTATATTATTTGTGTTTTCATAAGTGGCCCAGAAACATGTAATTGGTGATCTGAAAGTGTTTGGACATGTGTACTTTCCATTGCATATTAAAGAGAAAAGGAATATTTCTGGAATTCTGCACTAGTACTGATTCTCTTTTTCTATTTCCTGCCCGGGGGGCGGGGGAGGGTGTGGTGGGGCGATAGAGGACAATGTTAGGAGGATCAGTAAAATGACTGTTGAAACATTCAAAGATCATTTTTTTTTTTGTGATAGATGAACTCTTTTAGTCCATGAGTTCATTTGAGTGTAAAGAAATTGGGAAATGTTTTAGTTCATACAATTTTTTGATTCATATGGATGTCTTTATGTTTGTTTCCTGGTTATTCTGCTGTGCTGTTTGTTAATTTAATCTTTGTTTTTACGCTTTGCTGCTGGACTTGTTTGAGTAGTTTTTGTTAAAATGAACCACCACCGCCACTGTATGTATTAATTACATTTCTAAATGTAACTGATGAGCTCTGAATGTGGTATAGGAAATCCTTATGACAATCCTTTTCCTGGTTATTCTGCTGTGCTGTTTGTTAATTTAATGTTTGTTTTTACACTTTGTTGCTGGACTTGTTTGAGTAGTTTTTGTTAAAGTGAACCACCAATGTATATGTTAATCCAGCTTTAAAGTTTATACTTTTGTGTTAAGTTGATGTGGTTGTTTCCCTATTTCGTTGGACAGGACATTGACTCAAAGCATTGGTCTCCTCTCTTATACATTCTTGGCACGAACAGGCCATGACAGAATAGTAGTACCGATGGTGAGTTTTGTTGCTCGAGCATCTGATTGTGTTAGAGTGCTTATCCTCCTGTTATATAATCCGTGTGATAGAAATAAAACAGAATGCAAAATGTTGTTTATTGTTGTATAGGTCTTCGGTTTATGTATGATGTCTGTTGCAATGCCCTTTTAATGTACTTGCAACATGAACTGAATACGATGGAGCTTATGCACTAGATCTCAATTGTTTTGTTGTTTTTGGTTCCATGGGCTGTTGAAACGCTGCTTGTCATTTATGCCAATCCCTCAATTAATTTACTCCTAGATATAGTATCCTTGAGTAACAGCTCATGTCCATTGCAGGTGGATTATGAATTCAACACATTAACTAATAAATTAGAAGTTATGCATGGGAAGGAACATTTTATGTCTAATCTTTCCATGCTGCTACAATGGTCCCCATATTCAACTGAGGCTGATCTTCTAAAGCAGGTGATTCATAAAATATGTTTTTTTTTTTTTTTATTTATTTATTTTTTATCTGTATGTGATGTATTATGTGTATAAGATTCATGAGATCCTGCAAGTGTGGGCAACCGGCCACTCAGATTTGTACTCACAAGATTGCACTTAAGGAGTTTTTTTTTTCCTTATCTTTCTGTATATTTGTAATATGATTAGATATTATTACTCTTGATGGTGTATGGTTTAGAGGTCATCTGATTTTGAAAGTTAATCTAAGCCTTAACAAAGAAGCCATTCCTTTCTTTCTATATTTATTGTGTATTTGTCAAAACAAAACAAACAAAATAGGGGCTAGGGATAGAACAGAAGGGTTAAAAAAACTTAAAGCAAGAAGAACTCACCTGCTTAGCGCCAGACCATGAAAAAGAAAGAACTTGATGCATGAACAAGGGATTAATAGATTTGATTGTTATTTAACCTGTTTTTCAAAATATATATAATATATTATGTGTTATTGCAATTTCATTTCCTTATTCATATCCTAGTCTTTGGAGACTTTCTGCATTGTGTCATATTGTATAATCCCCCATCAAGACCAGATATTGTATATCCCACTAACTTGTATTGTGCAGCTTAGGTCTGAATATGGTATGCATACGCGTTAATTTAAGGTTACTTTTATTTGAAATCTACTGGAAATATGGACAATTTCACCTACTCTAAGTGAACAGGTGGTATCACTACTAAATTCCATTGGTGTTTCATGCTATTTGGATGGCTTTCATAGTTCTTTATGTCAAGCTTTGCTGATACATATGTTCATCTGAGTTTGATCTATTTTCATTTGCTCTTGAGATGACAGTTTAATGACATTGGAGCTCATGGTACAAAAGTTATTGTCTATAATTTGTGGTTCAGTGATGATGGGAATCTGGAGCTAGACTTTGATACAGATCCTGAGGTTGACAATTCTTTCATATCATGTGCTTTTCTAGTTTCTTCTGAAATGTAATTTGTACTCATCTGTTGAGGTGGCTTTCTGTGACTTGTGTTGCAGGACATTCGCATTAGTGGGGATACCAAAAAAGTTGACACTAAATTTAAGACAGTAAATGAAGAGCACATTGCAAACCGTTTCCGTTTTTCTCTCCGTGTAATACTTTGTAGCATATGCATAATTGATTTATATATACAAAAATGTGTTTTAGCAGAATTTGATAGTTTCCTTATGCTTCACAGGTATACTTGTCCATCTTGTACTTGCGGATACCACAAACCTTTCAAATAGTACTTCGAGGGCGAGTTGTTGAGCATCATAACATTGCAAATGATCTAAAGTTTCCAGAATTTATCTTGTATAAACCTCAAAGTGGAGGTTCTGTGGAGGTTATACTGAATTTTTAAACATTTCTAATTGTGGTTTTACTGCTAAATGAATATTTTCCATCAGGAAAAATTGAGTTGTTATTTACCTTTCGAATTATTCCCATCTGTTTGCTCTTTCCTTAACTTTGTAGTGGATTCCCCATGCAGGGTCAAGTTATTACGACAATTGGATTTCTTAAAGAAGCTCCACATGTCAGTTTCCATGGTTTCAATGTGTATCACAAAAATCGTCTAATACTGGTTTGTTTTCCTTGCTGATTTGACATTCTGCTGATGCTGCTTGCTATCAATTAATTTTGAGGAGAATATTTATTTTGTTCTACACTATATTTTATTTTTGGACCAGTACAAGAATGTTCATACTGGCACACATGCAGAGAAATGCATGCATACACTGTAGGATTATATGTATCACAAAACCATCTAATACAGCTAACTTCAGAAATTGTACTTTCTGCTGGCGGTGTTGGCTATCAACGTAATTTTGAGGAACCATTTTCAATTTATGTTCCCACTATCTTTACTCCCGCACTCACATACACATATGCCTCCCTCACTCTCTCCTTGAATGTTTCTAGTTGGTCATTTATATTGTCACTACATGTATAATATAACTACTGCTGGTGGGAGAACACAAATTTTCTGTCTCAAAGATTGTAAGATCAAGACAGCCTTAGGAATGTATGTCTTGCCCTGGGGAACTGGTTTATGTTTTAGTATACAACAACAACAACAATGCCATATCCCACTAAGTGGGGTTGGCTATATGAATCCTAGAACACTACTGCATTCGGTTTTTGCACCTCTTCCGTTAGCTCCAAGTACTCCATGTCTTTTCTTAGAGTCTCTTTCCAAGTCTTCCTAGGTCTTCCTCTACTCCTTTTGCCCTGAACCTCTGTCTCATAGTTGCATCTTCTAACCGGAGCATGTATAGGTCTTCGGTTTATGTTTTGGTATAATGTTTGCTTAATGGATAGGGGTGTGCTTCTGAAAAAAAGATGTGAAAACTTTTTGAAATGCGTACATAGTCTATTCCACATATGTAAAGCCTAAAAGCTTCTATTCAATGATTTTGTTTTTCAACTGTCTTCTCTTCTTTTGCAGCCTTATTGGCAGGTTGTGAGCTATTCAGACAGTAGGGGTCGGGGGGTGGTTGGTAACAACCTGCTAAATCACTCTTTTTATTGGGCTCTTTTTCTTTTTGTGCGTCGGTCATTATAGGCTAATATTTCATTGGCTACTCTTTAGGTGTTCTGGAAGCAAATTTTGTTGAGCCGAGTCACAACAAGCAAGATTTTGAGAAAACTAATCTTTTTCAGAAACTTGAAGTTCGCTTAAAGGAGATGACGTGGGAATACTGGTAATCTATTTTCCAATAGTAATCGTCTTTATTTTTTATGTTTGGTTTGGGTCTTTGAAATTCGATGATAGAAAAAAGCTTCATTTTACTCATGTCTCTTCCATTTTGTGTAAAATGGGTAACTTTGCACAACCGAATAAATTTGATTGTTTTCCTTTACTTTTATGTATCATTGTGATGAACTTGATACAAAACTTGCAATTGATTTATTTGAGCCATGAAGCTGTTTGGCTGTTTGTAATATTAATATAGAATGATCAGCTGGCTTGTATTAGAACTCACATGGGGACCCATATATGTAGCCCTCATCCATGTCAATTTTACATGTAACTGGTACTGGTATGGCCACTGGATGCTTCAACTACATGTAAAATCCAACAACGCACCGACATGGGACTTAACCTGCATCATTCATACATGAGCCTATACTGCATTACTGTTTCTTTGCAAATGTCTTTTGAAAAAAAAAAAAATGGTGGCTGCTATTTACCTGATGCATTGTATCGAACTTTGGCAGGGATTATCATTGTGGGTTAATTGGGTATCAGGTAAAGAAGAAACTTGCGTCACAGGTTTCATCTGGTCCTAAGATTACCCAACAGGTTTCATCTAATGGTGCGCCACCTAGTGGTGTTCAACATGTCAGATTGGGTCAAAGTTTCCCTGCTGTTGGTAGTAAAAAGGAGTCACTTGGAAGATCTGAACAAGGTAGCTGCTTGAGTTGAGATCAGTTTTTTCTTGATTAATCTTACTGACTGGTGATGGTGCCTTTTGTTGTAGTGGGAGGGATGAAGAGGAAGGAACATGGTGATATTCTATCGGTCAAAAATGTTAAAGTGGCCAAGGTGGTTAACGAGAAGAGTCAGAATGTACAGGTCAGTGGCAACTTGTTTAAATTGTCACTCTTCCATCCTTGTGGAAAAAAGTGTGTCAGTGTATATTGGATATGCCAGCTTATTTATTTTGAGTTTCGATTGGCTATGGGAGAACTAGAAATAAATGTAAAACTCATTGTTATTTCTGTGTTAAGTTGGTTTTGTGTGTTTTACTAAGAATTATGTACGTTAGCCAGTGTAATCATGATGACATCGGGTCACTCCAGTCTATTAAGATATGTGTGTGCCCTGTTTTTTAGATTATGGACTCATTTTTGCTCTCAAGATATTCAAATGAAAATATTAAGTCTCTGATTTTTTATATTTTTTTTATTTTTTTATGCATTGTATTTTCTGTAGCTGGTGAGTCCTACTGGAGACCAGCGGAAAGATCAAGAAGCTGTAAATTTGATGCACGAGAACAAAAAGCTTCGAGCTGAGTAAGTACATGATTACCTGCTTCATTATGCTGATTCCATCACTTGAACAATCATTTTTTTTGGCAAATTAAGAGAGTTTACTTCCTGAATATTTTAAAGGTTCTTAGCTGTTTGTTTCACCTTGTCAGCTGCTTGGAATATGAGAAGAGGAATGAAGAACTTAATCTCAAGGTACGAAAATTACACTGAATAATTACTTTAATCGAGTATTTAGTTTTTGTACTTGCGTCCTTAATTTTCTTTTTGTTGTTCTCAACTGTCTGAAAAAATGCAAAGCTTGAGAATTAGGATTCTTGATGCACTTCTCAATCCAAATGTTTTCAATGGTCACCTACACATGTATACTTGAAGGCTCAAAGCTATTCTAGGGATCAGTTACTTTGGCATTCGGCCTGTTCTTTTAGTCTTGGAAAAGAGAAATAGGCTTTGGTTTGATATCTGCATTTGCAAATCTGCTTTAGATATGTATCGGGAGAATTGCATACTCCAGACTTTCAGGATGGTTTTACGTTTTTACTTAGTCTACGAAAGCACACGTATCTGTGCTTCCCTACGGCCTCTTGCCTGATCTTCTCCACCATTGTATGAAATTAATACCAAGAAAATCTTAAGAGTTTACCTTGCTTAGTTGTGAAACTGAAAGGTCATTATGTCCGCCATCATCTGAACCTTAACTATTGTTAATTGTGCAGGCGACACAGCTTAGAAATGCAATAAAAGAGCTCGATGACGAATACTCTCGGATGATGGCTGAATTAGAAGCTTTGGAGGCTGTCAAGGAAGAACAGGGAATATAAATGTAAATAGTGTGTTGTATCAGCAATTCTTTCATTTGTTAAACCTTGCTGTACCATGTATGCATAGGTCGGTGTAGCCTTCAGTTTTCAACCCTTAGGATGATTCGTTGCAGCTGAAACCTAGGGTCTGTAATTTTTTCGTTTTGTTTTCTAATTGTACCGCCGCTCCCTTTGCGCTTTCCAATGGAAGTTTGTATCGAGTTTTACTGATGAATTGGAGCCTAGAGCCTGCTAATTTCACATCTAGAAAGCAAGTAGCTTTTCTGTCAACAATATTTTCTGTCTTGCTGCACTGCCAGATGTTTTTGCCGTTTCGACTTGGTTTTCGAGTTTAGTGGATCATATGTATTAACTTATGGATAGTTTAGCTGCGCGCAGCCCCTTTCTATCACTGTTAATGTGGTTGTTTAATAAGACTCCATGCATACATATTTATCGCGTAAAGGTCTGGAGAGACCGTGCTCGAAATTTGTATTAACGCACAAAAAACAGGTGAATTTGCCGTAGAACTTTCGAATCCATTTCGTACGCATTTTTCTATGGCTGATGCCGATCATGTGTACAGATTTCCTGGATTTGTGTCAAAATTAGGGCCAAGTTGTTGGATTTAATTATGCAAGTAGAGTGAAATATAATCATCCGAAACGGAGAAATTACTGAATCCTTTGTTCCAGCCCTGGAATTAGACAAGGAGACCCCTATGTGTATATATATTTTTTATGTATGGAGAAACGGGCGCCACCGTCGCTACAGTTGTGGATGCATTTCAAATCGCTGTGACATCCACTGTTGATGTATCCCCATCGGCGAGATATATAGTATAGATATACCCCAATCGTCGGAACTCATCTTTTGTCACATAAACTTTATCATCATTGTCCGTCTTGATGCTCTTAAGCGTGACGATAATGATGAAACCTTTGGACTCTAATTTCTGAGCGCCCATGGGAAAGCCCGATCCATTGGAATTAGACCCGGCAGTTTCTTACATGACACAAAAATAACAGGTTTTAGGTTAACACGATAACTAATCGGGTCATTATCAGGTGACCTGTTTCGACCCGTTAAGAAAAATAAGTTATAATTTTAAAGTTTAATTACTAAAAAATTTATTATAAAATACAATAGCCATATTGTATACATTGGTATATTCTATATTAAATATGTATTTTTGTATTATTATTCTATATAAGTTAAAAAAATTACGTTTTATTCATTTATTTATTTTTATTATGAGAGTTTCTTATTATCATTAATAGGATAAATTTTATGTCACAGCCCGTCCTGAGATTTTATCTATCGATCGTGAAATGACGAAAGTACCCTTGACTGTTGCTATGGTATGTGTGTGTGACATGTGATGGAATAAAGCATATTTCCTAAGTTTTGGGAAAAATTTGAATTAGATTGATGGATATATGTATTTTTGTGTGGTTAGGGATTTAAGGGACTTTGAATTTTGGTTTGATTGGTTGGACCACACACGGGATACACGTACACACACCTACCCATGCTCTCTCTCTCTCCTCCTTCTCTGTCACTCTCACTCTCTCCCTCTCGAAACTGTACGGACCGACCCAAAAACCCTTGAAACTTCATGGATGGAAATTAGCACCATTGTGTTCGTGAGTGCCCTACGAACTTAAAGGTACCATTTTCAGGTAAGAAACCCTTCGTTTTCACGTTGAAAACTCAAGGTCCGAATTGAGTACTATTCATGAACTTTGTAATGGTTGGTTTTTAGGACAATCCAAGCTCATAGTGAGCTCTAGGAAGTTCCCACGAAGCTCGGGGACGTTCGTTTGGAAGTTTTGGACGTCGGGACACCCTAGTTCGAAGGTGGCCGGTTTTGGTGAAGTTTCCTGACGTGATTTTCGAAGGTTTTGAGGCTCCAAAGAGGTATAGCCTTCTTCCCCTCGTGATTTAGGACATTTTGGTGAAAATTTCATGGAAAATGGTTGAGAATCGAGCGAGAAAAGGGTGATTGCAGGTTTACCCAGTTTCCGGCGCCGGCGAGTTTTTCCGGCGACTGGAGGTAGGGGATGATGCGCGTGGGGGGCGCGTGGACCCGTGCCTATCCCGGCGCGTGACAAGCCCAAAAATTATTTTAAAAATATGTCGACGTCCGTGACGTCGAGTAGGTCACTGTGGTATATTCATATACCCAAATTGAGCACCGTATGAGAAGTTATTACGAATTGTCGGTTATGTGCTTTAATTAACGTTCTTATAGTTGTTTCGCATATAGGTGATACCTATCCCGAGGACGAGACCCTTCGACTTACCAGTGAGTGGGTAGTATTTTCTGTATTTACCTATATACTATTGATTTCTCCTAGAAATTGAATTTAAATGAAAGTATGTTTTTAAAATGCCATGCATGCATATTGTGAATTATATGAATTAGTAATTGATGCATATATATGTGAAATGGTTCTGTGGACGTACAGGTGAGTATCATGTGAGTTTATGTTATTCATGTGAATCATTGATGATGTGAATTGTGTTGAGAGCTCATAACCTGCACCCCTAGTGTTAGTGCTTATATTATTCACCCGCACCGCACGCTCACCTTGGATCCAAGTAGGTGCACATCGTACAGACCATGAGAGAGTTCCGACATGCTAGTCGTACAGATCACTAGAGGTGGTTCTGACTGGTAGGTGACCTTAGATTATGTGCACAGATGATTGATGAGAGAAGCACTAGAGCGTATTATTACACCATCCTTGTTGTACAGACTACTTCAGGTAGTTCCGACTTATGTGCAGAGTAGTGCCGTACATGTCACCGTGGTGACTCCGGTTAGTTTGGATATTGAGCTATGGAATTAACCGTACATGACCAACTGCAGGGTCTCCGGTTGATTCATTATGTCACCTGTTATATTGATGCATTCTTAATCTGTTATTGACATTTATGGTATGGCATATTTTCTGGGTTTTGATAAAGATTGGTGATTTGAGATATTTGATGAAGTATATGCATATTATGTTATTTTCTGGGAAAGTATACAGGTTTTACAGCGAGGGGTTAGAAATGTTTTAAACGAAATGTTTTTGAAAAACTTTGGTTTTACTGACCTACTCAATTTTGTTTTGCGCCCCTCCAGGTTCTAGTTAGCAGCGTTGGTGGCCCACGAGGATTCCCACGGCGTTCTGACAGACTACATAAATGTAGGACTCACCTGCGGGTGTTGTAATTTAGTTATGGTCCTACTCAACTGCACCTAGTACTTATGCTCTGAATTTGTGTGTTTCACACTTAAACTTACTCTAGCACATTACTTGGTTATTATTGCTAGTATTTGGTTTTTATTATTCTTATGTTCTTATCTATTGCTTCCGCGTCGTATGATGTGAAAATTATGTTGACACTCAAATTAACCCTCTTTTTATCAATTGTAGCAAAGTATGTAAGTAGGGATCGTTCTAAACCGGGGATTATGAGGGATTGCAAAATCACTTGAAAACTGACTCAAATACGTAACAACTAGTTTAAAACACTAAACTAGACTCAAAGAATGCAAAACTAAACTTTAAACACTAAGACAAACCAAAAGACTCAAAACAGCCCAAAAACACTCAAAACTGCCTTAAAACCACAATCTGGGCAGTTTTGAACACTAGACACAAACTTGGACGAAAATTGGTTTTAACTTGACCTAAGACACTTAAAAACACAAACTAAAGTGATTTCTAACTACTATGACTCAACCAAGTAAAGGGGGATTGATTTTGGACGAATTTATCTTTGAAAACAGAAACTTTGAAAACAAACTTTGACAAAAACGTTTTGATGAAAATTAAGATGGTGAAAGGCTAGTTAGAAGGTTCCTTCTCCACACATGAAACATATGCATACGACTCGATTTCCAATTACTCTTTCAATAAACAATGAATGACAATGCCCCAAATTAACTAGATTGACCAATTAATTCTTAGATTTCCCTAGATTCATTGAATTGAATGAGATACGCATTACAACCAAATTATTCTTATCAAGGACCCTAACTATGGAATACGCATGATAGAGACACATATCAAAGATCATTAAGTTCAATGGAAATCATAAGCATTGACGAGACATTCATAACTATGGGATACGCATGTTACTCTTGCCAAGGATTTACTTAACACAATCGTGACTAGCGACTTTTACTACTTATGAATATAAGTTAATAACGATTAGGTGAAATTCCCTTATACTCTAGCATCAAATTCATGCATGCGAACCAAGTATGCATCCTTAATTAATACACAAGAACAAGTTATCAATCAAATAGATAAGTAAACCACATTCACGATTTATGAAATCATAATTGGAAGAAATCAAGTCATATAAAACATATGATCATGGCTTTGAATTCCCCTCTAACTATAAAGAAATTAGTTCCTCATGTTCGCAAATAAACAAAGATAAATAAATTTAAACATTCTAACAAAGATAGAAAACACCTAGAATCGCTCCACAATCCAAGCTCCTTGAATGGCATGCACGGCTCCAAGAGTTCTTCCTTTTTTTCCTTGCAAACTCACGGCACAATGAGGGATGTTTGGGTGAATGGTGTAGTGAAAATATGGTAGAGGATGGTGAATAAATGGTGCAGCAAAGGATGGTATTTATAGGCTGAAATTCGCAGCCCCTATGTAGCAAAGGAAAAGGATTTAAAAGCCTAATTTGTATAGGATAATAACACACAATCCTTGAAGGAAAAGGCTAAGGCTTTTAGAAACCAAGGGGGAAAGGAATAATCAGGTTTCTAGAAGTTCTAGAAAGGTTTGGGGCGTCACTTTTGTAGGACAAGGGATAAGGCCTTCTAGAAAGGTTGTTTGTGGCTGATTTCTAGAAAAAAAAGGGATAAGGTGTGGCACCTTTGTAGGAGTGGATAAGGGCTTCTAGAAACCAATTTTAATGTGTCCTAATCTGAAAATAAATCCCCCATGCAGCTGGAATTAAATTAGGATAGGATTAGGATAGGATAAGATAAGATATGATTGGATAGGATAGGGTTTGGATAATGTTTTGGATAAGGTTTCTTCACTTGAGCTGATTCTTTGGCTTCAACTTCCCTTCTTCAAGTAGGAAACCTTGTTTGAGTAGGAAACTTCAATCTTCTAGGAATCCAACTTCAACTAGGAATCCATCTTCAACTAGGATTTCATCTTCAATTAAGCACTTTCCCACTTCAATTAGGAATCTTTGTATCTTCAATTCTTCAACTTCAAAACACATTCCTAGCTTCATCAATCCTTCAAATTCGTCCATCCCTT